GGTATTTCTAATTCCAACTTTTGAAGGAATCGCCATACTGCTTTCCACAATGGTTGTACCATTTTACAGTCACACCAGCACTGTATGAGAGTCCGAATTTCTCCACGACCTCATAAGCATTGTTATTTTCTGTCTTGTTGAGCTTTGCTACTAGTGCTGAAGCAAGGTGATACCTCATTGTTGTTTTGATTTGCATCTCTCTAATAGCTAATGATTGTGAGCATTTCTTCATATGTTTGTTGGCCGCTTAATATCCTCCTTGGTGAAGTGTCTATTCATGTCTTCTGCCCATAAGTCATTGATCTTGCAAAATTTCATCTCCAGCATCATTTCTATCACCATTACCACATGAGGAAATGGAGGTCCTGAAAGCTTTACTCCATCCACATCATTAAGGTCAGCTCTACTCTGCTGAGGCATCTCTTCTCTAGTTGTATTTTGAGTGCCTTCTGACCTGAGGGGCTCATCTTCCAACACTATATCAGATAGTGTTTCAGGGCTATTCACAATGTTTTCCAGTAATATATCAGTGTTTTCACTGCTATTCATAAAGTTTTCACTGGCCAATCCTTTGAGAAGTGGATGGCTCATTCCTCCTTCCGAGTCTGTCTTAGTCTGGAAGCTCTGCTGGAACCTGTCCACCATGGGTGACCCTGCTCATATTTGAAATACTGGTGGCATAGCCTCCAGCTTCACAGCAACCTGCAAGCCACTACAGTACAAACTGTCAGACAAGTGGTAGTTTATAAGGCATGCTTATAAATGTTCTCTAAAATACTTTACTTCTCTTCCTCCTTCTCTATTCTCCTTTTCTGAAAAATAAAGGTATTGGCATGTGTTTACCTCACAAAGAAACAGAGCAACTTAATAAAAATCTAAAAGTGTCCTATTTTGATAATAAAGTAACAAGTTTTCTATTTTTCTATTGAAAGGTCAACATGATTGTGTGACTGTAATCAACAATTTCTTTCCTCGAGAGAGACTGGATTATTACACCAAACCTCAGGGACTGGATAAAGAGCCAAAACTTCCACCAAAGTTGGCAGGCCCACTGCACAAAATTATCACCACCACAAATCTTCATCCTGTCAAGGTATTGGTCCATAGTTTTAGCAGCTCTTATTATATAGGATCCTAATTGTCTTAGGTTGAGTTTGTAGGCAAACAGCTTAGGATGGACTGTGTTGTTCATTTGATTTATTGAAGGAGTGCTCTCATTTAAAACATGGAAGCGAGAGAAAAACAGAATACAACAGGAGATAAATCTAGGCAGAGGGAAGGGTTCGGCAGAAGCTGGCTTCCACCTCATCCCACAGGGTGCTCTGTAATATGAATAGCTCCACAGAGGCTAGGCATTTGGGTCGTTATTCACTCACTGACTGGGGGTTATCCGAAAGGGAAAGGACAGCCTCCTAGACAGTGCCAAGTGAGGTAGCTTCCTTTAGACAAAGGCAATTCTCTAGAGATAGAGACCTCTCCATGCCCTTAGCAGTTGGAGTATAGTGCACTGGCCTGGTAAGAGGGTCTGGGTAGAGTACCAAGAATATCTATGGCAATAATGATCCTTCTATGATATGTCCTAAAGTGCAATCAGGAGTACGTTTTTAGCGCAAGTGACTATTTGATACCTTTAAATAACAAAGTTCTTCCAGTAATTAGTCAAAGTTGAACAGATTTTCAAACCTTGTAGACCAACATAAGTTTAAATGGTTTCACTGGGAAACTAAATGACCATTTTCTTAGGTTTTTATACATGGCCTGTTTAATAGTACTTATTTTGAAGTACTGTTTTCTTTTTAATAGTTTCTATTGAATTATTAAATAGCTTATATTAAACTATTCTGTTAATAGTTTAATACTTCTTCTAAAGTACTGTTTTCTTAAGATTTTATACACAGCCTGTTTATATCTATACATGTTGTTGTTGTTATGTGTCGTCCAGTCAAACCTGACTCACAGCGACCCCTCCTTGGGTTTCCAAGGCAGTAACTCTATGGAAGTAGATTGCCCCATCTTCCTTCTGAGGAGTGGCTGGTGGGTTTGAACAACCAGCCTTCTGGTTAGCAGTCGAGTGCCTTAGGCACTATGCTACCAGAGCTACATATGTACGTATATATGTATAAAAAGTTCACAGGTGACAAATGCTTAAGGACTCAACTATTAATGAAAAGGTTGGCAATTTACACCTTCCCAGAGATGCCTCGGAAGACAGGCCTGACAATCTGCTTCTGACAGGTCACAGCCTTGCAACCCCTGTATTTCCACTGTCTGGACCAAAGAAGAGTGAAGAAAATCAAAGACTTGAGGAAATAATTAGTCCAGGGGACTAATGGACCACTTGAAACACAACCTCTATTAGTCTGAGACCAGAAGAACTAGATGGTGTCCAGCTACCATTATGGACCACTGAGATCGAGATGATAATAGAAGGTCCTGGGCAGAGTAGGAGAAAAATGAAGAACAAAATTCAAAGTCGTAAAAAAGACCAGATTTACTGCTCTCATAGAGGTTTTACTGTATAGATATGTGTATATGTATATGTGTGTGTGTCTGTGTGTGTGTAAATATATATATATATAGATAGATAGATTTTTTAAAAATATTAATCCAAATGAGTATAATTCCTTCAATGAGTCATCACAGAAGACTCCTATGCTTTTATAATTCAATGTCTATCATAGATCTTTATTCATGGATATAGATTTGATAGTAATTTGGAATTCTTTGGTGAATAAGATAGTTAATAAATTGAATCAAAAAGTTGGATTTTTCCCTTAATACAAGGAATTACTACACTAATGAAATAGATCTTCTTAGAATTCTGTTACAAAAGGAGAATCTTTGGAATATGTGGAATGCCATTAAAATAAACAGACAGTTCTCATAAAATAACTCTTGAAGACTAGCATTTGTTTGAACATACAGATTCTAAAATGTATTCATTCTTACTACTTTATCGATGCATTCCTGTGCATATAGTCTTTGAGGCTCAAGTAATAAGCAAACTGCCTGTCAAGTGATCCTATACCTAAAATAATTTTAACTAGCCAATACCTTCCACATAGGATAGAAAAGTGAAATCTGCTCTGTTTTTGTTTTTGAAAACATATATATATATATATTTACATTCTAAAAGAATGAAAAGAGACAACATTTGTGGTTCTACGTGGCATAAAAAGGAAGTTAGCTATGACTCACGTATTTGTATTCCTAGTGGAGATTATGTGGGACTTAGAATTTAACCTTTGAAAAGTCTTTAGTCTCTTGCGTATTGGTGGTTCTCTTCCTCCAAACACATTTGAGGAAAGAGAGCATCCCGTGAGTAACAGCTATTCCCTTTGCATGACACATTCTCTTAAGGATGAGGCAGGCCAGGTAGGGAGATGGGCTTTCCCAGGGTACAGTATTTCTCAATTAGAGAAATTACAAAGCCCCTTGTAATTCCCCTTCTGCCAGAGCATTGCCACGATATTCTGGTTTGGATTAATTTGAAGACATTCCCTGTGTTTTTCTGATTCACTGCTTTTTGTATCTTAAGTTTCTACCCCTTTAGATTGCAATGAGGGTCTGTGGAATATTTTCTTATACGTGGAATTTAGTCTCCCAGGATTAAAAGTCCAAGAATTATTGTACCTTCAGTTACATTTTAAAGGCATATATTTAGAATAAATTACAGGTAGCATATTGGAAATGTAAACAATCTGCAACAGACTACATAATAATTTTCAGAGTACTTAGCCTTTTGAAAGAGATGGTTCTGTAACTATGGCACCTTTCTTCAGACCAGTCTGCCTCTTTTTTGTAGCTCTAAATGATTTACTCGCTTGAAAGCCTGCTTTCTTTTATCTGTATTTGGATAAAAGCTGCCTAGTTCCTTTTGTGATGGCTCATTGTCACTGCTTTACACATTTTCAAACTAGCAGTGTTCTTGCTGTGGAGTGTTATAAACAAGTAACTAATAGCACCTCTCTATAAAAGTTAAAGACATTTTAAATAAACACAGAAGTCCTCCCAGATACACAATGTGCCATTTCATTACAATGCACCTAACACAGCTACTTCTGCATCTCAGTTAAGTGGTTGCTATAGCAATAGGGATATGTTTGTTTTCAAAAGGGGCCTGGGGAATTGTGCTGAGTACAAAGATTATGAAGGAGAAAAACAGAATCCAAGGAAAGAATGGTAACACATATGAGCAGAAGGCAGGTGTGTACAAAGTGATGCTGTCTTTATTAACACAGTTTCCAAGCCCAGACTTGCTGATTTAATAATTTAAAAGAAAAACAAAATGAATTTAGAAGATAAAAAGAATTCAAAATGCCACTGTATAAACTCATTCCAAGGCAGCAGTCCTTTGGGAGATCAGACACATCTGGTTTTTATGCTGACAGGAGTTTATTTACTACTCCTCATTAATTTATAATAAGGATTTCCTTTATAATCTATTACTTCATAATGCTGCGGAGATTAAAGGAAGGAAAACTAAATGAAGTATTCTTTTGCATATTGCTAAGTAAAAGATTAAGCAAACTCATAGCAGAACTGTGGTTATTATTTTTCTTCATGTATATTTCAAAATAGATAAGATTTAATGTCTATAAACAAAGATCTCTGGTGACATAGTGGGTAAGACATTTGCTGGTAACCAGAAGGTCAACAGTTCAAACACACCAGCTTCTCCATGGGAGGAAGATGAGGCAATCTTACTTCTGTAAAAATTTATAGCCTTGGAAACCCAATGGGGGTTGCTATGAGTTACAATCAACTCAATGATAGTGGGTTTGGTTTTTTGTAAAGTCTATAAACAGAAAAGTCATTAATATAGGTTCTATTTGAGGTTTTTTTTTAAAAAAAAAAAAATTCCCACTTTGTAAGTTTAAGATCTTACTCTTTGATTATAAATGCCATATATAAAAGTCTTGATCTGTCAGCTTCAAATACTGCAGTTGATAGCAGGAGTATAAATAGAGAATTATTGGGTCTTTTCTTCATCACCAGGAAGCTCTAGTGGTGCTGTGGTTAAAGCACTGGGCTGCTAAGCACAAAGTCTGCGGTTCAAACCTGCCAGCCACTCTGTAGGAGAAAGATGAAAGCAGTCTGCTTGCATAAGGATTTACAGCCTTGGAAACCCTATGGTGCAGTTCTAATCTGTTTTATAGGGTCACTATCAATTGGAATCGACTCTATGGCAGTGGGTTTCTTCACTGTCACAAGTCAATTTTTGATATATGTTAATAGTAGAAGAAGTTACCAGAAAATGTCAATAATGATTCTCTTTATATTTACATTAAATCTAATAATTTATTATCAAGAGCTAGATTTTAAATAAAATACCAGATTATATATAAACGTAGTACAGTGAAAGATAAATGAAAATCTTAATTTCACAAAGACATTAGCTGTGTGTTAAATATCCAACTAAGATTCTAGACATGGGATTTTATTTAAAATGACAAATGATTTTTCTTCATGCCTAATGAGAAGAATCTAATTCATGAAATCTGCTCATCTTTAGCTGTTATAATTTAAGTGCAGATTGGCTCTCTGATCTAGGTATATAATCAGACACAGGTTACAAGCATGTTTCACATTACTACTTGCCACTAAGAATTTTTATGCTGTCCCATGTGGATGACTTCAAGTGATATATCCTAGAACAAAGCCAATAAAAAAAATACTCCACATGGCACTATATTTGAGCTTAATTTGTGCATATGTGGGAAATTGTGGGACTCCTAATGTAAAAGATTTGATAACTCTAAAAACTTCCCTTTAAAGCTATTTATGGTTTCCCTTTGGGTCTGCTCTCATTACCATAGATGACTGAAAGCATTCTTAGGAAAATTTCTACAGAGAAATGTAGCTAACTGGAAAGTAAAACCCATTTCATTTTTAGTTATTTCTGTAAAAGTTTTATTTCTCTATAATTAATAAGAACTAATGAGAATTGTTCTCCCAGCCATGGAATTCTAGAGCTAAGTAATATTAACTAAAAAAGTAGTCATTAGAGTCTAGGTATCAAGTTATATGCGCAAATTAATTTATCTTTAGGAAAAGTGGTTTTAACAGATAAAGTAAAACCATGGACTATGAGTGCTAATCCCCTGGTTCAGGTAGATGGCAGGTGACACCGTAACGTTGCTGTAACCAGGCCAAGAAACCCAAGATACCAGGGCCCTCTGTATTAGTTTTATAGCTTTTAACAGTGGCAATTTGCATTCTTATTTCTAATTTGAGTTAACATAGTAAATAGATGACCATATGTAGAGAGACGGATAGTCTGAAATCAACCAAAACAAACAAAAAAAATGCTTACATAATTTGTGCTTTGAAAAATCTCCCATTGCAATTCTAAACTCACTGGAGTTTCTTCTAGATTGTGATGCTTATAAATGAGAATCCTCTGCTGACAGAAGAAGCAGCCCTGAGTAAATGCTACAGAGTGATGGATTTGATTTGTGAGAAATGTATGAAGCAAAAAGACATGAATGAAGTATTGGCTATGAAAATGCACTACATTAGCTGTATCTTTCAGAAATGCATTAACTTTGTGAAAGACAGAGAAAATAAACTAGACACTCTGATCAAAAGGTACTCTTTTTACTATGCGATGTACAAAGTACACTCAAGTGAATATTTTATATGAAGTTTCTTTATGTATTTGAATATTAAGCATTTTAATAGTAATTATTTATTGTGTTATATTACTATATATGTTATTGTTGGGAATCATGTTTATGCTATGAGAAATTGTACTTAGATTTTATGCTCACGGACTTTTATACTTTGACTGACTGAATATCCTGTTCTAAGCTCTTCAATAGTGCTGTTAGCTATAAGGACTATTATGTCTAATTTATAGATGAGTTCCTAAAAACCCAAAATCAAACTCACTGCCATCGAGTCAATTCTGACTCATAGCGACCCCCTTTAGGTTTCTGAGGTGATGAATCTTTATGGAAGTATAAAACTACCACAGCCAGCAATTACTTTGATTTTAATTCATGGTCATGATTTGAAGAGAAAATGAAAATCTCGGGTAGCAAAGAAGAAGCTATTAAAGGTTCCTGGGTTTAGTTGGAAGGGAATGCTTAGTGATTGAACTCCAATTACTTTTTTAAAAATGTGTCTTTCAGCTTGTTAAAAGGCCGAGCTACTGATGGCTTTCCAGTATATCAAGAAAAGATCATTAGAGAAAGTATCAGAAAATTTCCTTACTGTGAAGCTACACTCCTCCAGCAACTGGTACGAAGCATTGCACCTGTTGAAATTGTAAGTCTCCTCTTTAAGTTATCTGTACCAATCAGACCTTGTTATTACATGTGTATAGTTCAGGGCGAGTTCTCTTTTATATTTACTTTCATTAGACAATTTCCAGGATCAAAGGTGGAGGTAAGTTTGCCTATCAAACTTGTTTCTTTTTATCCATTTCCACTCTTAATCATCTTTCTACTTATATAAAACAGCTGTAGTTTTAATAAGCAGTATGTCCTTATGTTAGTTATGATGGTTATAAACCTAAATAAATAAATAAATAAATAAATAAATAAATAAACTCACTGCCATCAAGCCAATTCCAACTCACAGCAAACACCTTTGGAAGTAGATTGCCCAGTCTTCCTTCCGCAGAGTGGCTGATGGGTTTGAACTACCAGCCTTCTGGTTAGCAGTCATATGCTTTAGGCACTACCCCACCAGAGTTCCTTAGGATGGTTATAGTGATTACAATTTAAATGGCTCTGTGAAATCTAGAAAGGTAGGTATACATGTATTGTGTAATAAAGATGCACATGTTACAAGGGTAGTTGTATGAAATGTCAGTACGAAGTTCTACACTAGATGGACATAGGAATTGATCTAGTGTGATATTTTGGGATCAGTGGGGATGTGGAAGGATGAGCCATATATTACAATCTCAAAGTATCTCCCATCTCTTTACATTCTAATTAATGCCTCTGATAATAAATTTACCATGCTTTCCAACGTGGGAAGTGAGTTTTGTTAACTTTATTATCTGTTCTGTAAATTACTGCTCTTTTTGTTATGCATTTATTTCAGTAGCATTTGCTTTCCTTCTTTTGAATAGGTTTCTGTTAGCTGAAGCTACACCATTCTTCTATACATTTTAATCAAGTCTTTATCAGCCTTTGACTATCAGTTTAGAAATTAATCCTGAGATCATTCCCATCCATAGCTTCCTCCTTCCCTCTGGCAATTTCAGTTCCTTTCTTTGTGCCTTCTTTTGGCTGTTATATCATTTCAGAGTGGAAAATCAAGAGTAGAAACAGGTTTCATTTGTTCCTTTGTATATTAATACCTCACCTCTTCAGAACCTTGAAACAAACAAGGAAGATCTAAGCAGACAAGATGGTCTTGTATAGTTCACACATTCATTTACTCAAAAGAGATCTCCATACCTTCACACATTCTTTACTCTTACTTTGAAGTATACTTGGCTAAATAGACTCCAACACCATTATCAGAAAAATAATATACCATGACCAAGTGGGGTTTATACCAGGTATGCAAGGATGGTTCAACATCAGAAAAAAACAATGTAATCCATTATGTAAATAAAGAAAAAGAGCCAGATTATCGTATTAGTCGATGCAGAAAAGGTGTTTGATAAAATCCAACACTCATTCCTGATAAAAACTCTCAGAAAAATAGGAATAAGAGGGAAATTTCTCAACATAATGAAGGGCATATATGTAAAACCATAGCCAACATTATTCTCAATGGAGAGAAACTCAAAAGTATTCCCTTGCTAACAGGAACAAGCCAAGAATACTCTTTGTCATATCTATTCATATTGTACTAGAAGTCCTAGCCAGGGCAATAAGGCAAGAAAGAACTAAAAGGTGGCCATATTGGCAAAGAAGAAATGAATATCTCTATTTGCAGATGACATGATAGTCTATGTAGATAACCTGACAGACTTGCAAGGAAAGTACTGGAACTAATAGAAAGATTCAGCAAAGTGGCAGGCTACAAGATCAACATATGAAAATCAGTTGATTCCCTACATCAACAAAGAGATCTCTGAAAAGGAAATAAGGAAAACAATACCATTTACAATAGCTACCAAAAATATAAGATACTTAAGAATAAATCTTACCAGGGACACAAAAGACCTGTACAAAGAAAACTGCAAAAATATACTACAAGAAACTACAAGAGACCTGCATAAATGGAAGAACATACCATTCTCATGGATAGGAAGACTGAATATTATGAAAATGTTAATATTACACAAAGCAATATATATATTAAATGTAAATTCCATCAGCATTCTTTAAGGACATGGAAAAACCAACCACTAACTTCATGTGGAAAGGAAAGAGAGCCCAGATAAGCAAAGCACTATTGAAGAAGAAAAAGCAGGTAGTCTCACACTCTCAAACCTACTATATAGCCACATTAGTCAAAACAGCCTAGTATTGGTACAACAGTAGACACATAGACCAGTGGAACAGAATTGAGAATGCGTAGATGTATCTATCCATCTATAGATAGCCGATCTTTGACAAAGAACCAAAACTCATTAAAAAGGGGAAAGATAGCCTCTTAAACAAATGGTGCTGGCAAAATTGGATATCCATTTGCAGAAAAATTAAGATCCATACCTCACACCATATACAAAAACAAACTCAAGGTGGATCAAAGACCTAAATGTAAAACCCAAAGCTATAAAGTTCATCAAAGATCAAATAGGGGCAAACCTAGGGACCTAATTTATAGTGTAGACTATCAAGCATAATCCCAAATACACAAACTACATGACTAGGACCTTTTAAAAATTAAATTCTTATGTGCATCAAAGGAATTCTCCAAAAGAGTAAAAAGAGAACTTATGAATTGGGAAAAAAATACTTGGCTGTGATGCATCCAACAAAGACCTTATCTCTAAAATTTATAGAAAACTCCAACATCTCAACATCAAAAAGACAAACAATCCAATTAAAAATGGGCAAAGGACATGAACAGACACTTCAACGAAGAAGGTATTCAGGCTGCCAACAAACATGTGAAGTAATGCTCAAGATCATTAGCCATTAGAGAGAGATACATCAAAACATCAGTGAGATATCATCTCCCACCAGCAATAATACCAAGTTCAGCAAGACAGAAAACAACAAATGCTGGCAAGGATGTGGAGAGATTGAAGTCCTATACACTGCTGGTGGGACTGTAAAATGGTACAATCACTGTGGAAGATGGTATGGCAGTTCAGTAAAAAGCTGGAAATAGAAATACTATTTGTTCCAGCAATACTGCTACTAGGGATATATCCTAAAGAAGTGAGACCCAGGACACAAATAGATATATGCACACCCATTTTCATCACAGCACTATTCACAATAACAAGAGATAGAAACTACCTATGTGTCCATCAACAGATGAATGGATAACCAAACTATGGAACATACACTAAATGGAATACTATACAACACAAAAGGATAATGTAGAGTCTGTTATACACCTTGTAACCTGGATGAACTTGGACGACATTTTGCTGAGTGAAATAAGTCAGTCAAAGAAGGACAAATATTGTCTGAGTACACTATTATAAAAAGGCAAGGAAAGATTTACTCAGGGAAGGAAATTTTCTTTTTTGGTTACCAGAGATGGAAGGGGAGAGAAAGGGAGGGAAAATTGCTGACTAGTTAAAAGACATATTGATTTGGGTGAAGGAAAAGGCAATATAACAAAAGTGTATAACCAGCACAGTAATACTAAGGAAAAGGAGGACACAGAGAAATGCACAAAAGGTACAGACAACAAAGGTAAATACTGTTACATGCACAATACTGCATTATCAGTAACAACAAACACGAGTCTACAGGTGGGTACATAGACAGGCAAGAAGATCAGGTATGGGTAGGTGAGCAGTACCATACATAAGTTTGGCAAATGATACTCCTGCATGCGTATTTGTACTTGCTATGAAAACATGCATAACAAAAACAGGATAACTTCGTAGCCACAACCAAGCACCCTGAAGGAGTGAGTCACTGAACTTACGAGCTAGGGCCCATGGTCTTAGAGGACATCAAGCTCAGCTGGCACAATACGGTACACAAAAACATTGTTTTATATTCTGCTTTGGTGAGTAGTGACTGGGGCTTTAAAAACTTATAACCAGTCATCTGAGATGTTACTGTTGGTCTTCTTGTCATCCAGAGCAAAGAGTGAAGAAAATCAGACATAGGGAAACCATTAGTCCCAGGGACTAATGGACCACAGGAACCTCAGCCTACCTGACCCTGAGACTGGAAGAGCTAGATGGTGCCCAGCTGCCTCAGAAAGGGATCAAAATTGGAGATTGTGGATAGAGAGGAAGAAAAAACATGGAACAAAATTAAAAAACATAAAAAGGACCAGAATTACTGGTCAGATAGGGATTGGTGAAACCCCTGAGACTGTGGCCCTGGGTTACCCTTCAGGCCTGGAATTGAACTCTCAGCCAAACAATAGACAGGCCAAGCTGAACACCTGCCCCAGAGAGATGTGCTCTTTAGAACAGTCAGTAATGAGAGATCAGAAGGGTAGCATTTGCATAGGTGGAAAACTAGATAAACAGGAATGCATAGGTAAGAAGGACACAGATAAGCAGTGGCCACAGGGAAGAGGTGAGAGGAGAGCTGTTTCATTGTGAGGATTGTAATCAGTGTCGTGAAACAAAATGTATGTGAACTGTTGAGTGTCAAATGAATCTGCTTTGTAAAATTACACTCAAACCACAATTTAAAAAATAAATAATAAAATAAATAAATTTGCCTATTTGGTATTTAAGCTTTAAAGTTTAAAATTAAAGTTAGCATATTATAAGGGTTCTTCTTCAGTTATGAATGTCTGTTTGCACGTACCAAACTCCAACCAGCCATGAATGAAATAGATAAAGGGTTTATTTTTCATATATACTGACAGGCCTAGAGGTAGGCAGACTGGGCCTGGCAGAGACTCAAAAATGGATTGAGACCCAAACACTTTCCTGTCTTTCCATCTAGCATTCCTTAGCCATGCAGATTCTTGTCTTTGTGCTGTGACCTCATGGTTTCAAGATGTCTAACACTCCTCCTCCAGGCTCACATTCTTATCTCAGACAGGAAGAAGAAAGTTGCCTATGCCCCAGCTCCCTGAAAGTCTCTCATGGTTACACCTAACTGCACAGGAGTCTGGGGAGATGAGTATTTGGTGCTGCTCTAAACTGCTGCTCTGAATAGAATTGTTATTGTTGTTAAGTGCCAACGAGTCATCTCCGACTCATAGCGACCCTTTGCACAGCAGAACAAAACACTGCCCGGTCTTGAGCCAGCTCCATGATTCTTGTTATGCTTGAGCCCATCGCTGCTGCCACCATGTCAGTCCACCTCATTGAGGGCCTTCCCCTCTTTCGTCGACCCTCCACCTTACCAAGCATGACATCCTTCTCCAGGGAATGGTCCCTTCTGACAGCATGACCAAAGTATGTGAGACGAAGTCTGGCCATTCTTGCCTCCAAGGAGTTTTCAGGCTGCACTAACAGGTCTGTTAGTCCTTTTAGCAGTCCACAGTACTTTCAGCATTCTTCGCCAACATCACAGCTTAAAAGCATCAACTCTTCTTTGGTCTTTCTTATTCATTGTCCAGCTCTCACATGCATATGAGGCGATTGAAAATACCATGGCTTGTGTCAGGCGCACCTATCCTCAAGGAGACATCTTTGTTCTTCAGCACTTGAAAGAGGTCCTTTGCAGCCAATTTGCCCAGTGCTATGCATTGTCTGAGGAGCCTGGTAGCATAGTGGCTAAAGCACTTGACTGCTAACCAGAAGGCTGGTGGTTCAAACCCACCAGCCACTCCTCGGAAGGAAGGTTGGGCAATCCTACTTCCGTAGTGATACTGCCTCGGAAACCCAAGGAGGGGTCGCTATGAGTCGGGGCCGACTCGACGGCACATAACAACAACAACATGCATTGTCTGATATCCTGACTGCTGCTTCCATTAGCTTCGATTGTAGAACCTAGCAATGTGAAGTCTTCGACAGCCTCAATCTTTTCTCCATTTATCATGATGCTGCTTACAGGTCCAGTTGTGAGGATTTTTATTTTCTTTATATTAAGGTATAATCCATTCTGCAGACTGTATTCTTCAATCTTCATCAGTAAGTACTTTAAGTCATCCTCACTTTCAGCAAGAAAAGTTGTGTCGTCAGTGTATCACAGGTCGTTAATGATTCTTCCTCCAATCTGGATGCCACATTCTTCTTAATATAGTCCAACTTCTTGGATTATTTGCTCAGTGTGCAGATTGAATAAGCACAGTGAAAGGATACAACCCTGACACACTCCCTTCTTGATTTTAAACCATTCAGTGTTCCCTTTTTCTGTTTGAACAACAGCCTCCTGGTCTATGTACGGGTTTCTCATGAGTACAATTAAGTGTTCTGGAATTTCCATTCTTCTCAATGTTATCCACAATTTGTTATGATCCACACAATCAAATGCTTTTGCATAGTCAATAAAACACAAGTAAACATCTTTCTGGTATTCTTTACTTTGAGCCAAGATCCATCTGACATCAGCAATGATATCCCTTGTTCCACGTCCTCTTCTGAACCAGACTGCACTTCTGGAATTTCTCTGTCAATACACTGCTGCAACCATTTTTTAATTATCTTCAGTAAGATTTTACTTGCATGAGATATTAATGATATTGTTTGATAATTTCCACATTCTGTGGGATCACCTTTCTTGGGAATGGTACAAATATGGATCTCTTCCAGCCAGTTGGTCAGGTAGCTGTCTTCCAAATCTCTTGACGTGACCCAATGAGTGCCTCCAGCGGGGCATCTGTATGTATGTTGAAACATCTCAATGCATGGGCTCAGTTCTGATGGTTAAACATACTCTTACTTAACAAAGTTAATAAGGTTTTATATGACAAGAAAGGGTTCTTGTTTCTTAACAGTCACAGAAAGATTCTCTATGGTTGTTCAGCTGTAACATTGACTTTTCTGAAGTAGTAGTTTAACAGGCTTCTAGCAAGATCTCCTTTAGTTTATTACCTTTAGTTACATCTGTGACAGTGTTAGTGTGTGTTCTGACACAAAAGTCACATATTAGGAGAGAGATTGATGAGGTCTCAGGCAGCTCTATTAAAAAAAAATGAATGTGGAAAATATAATCGTTAAGTTTGTTGATTATATCATATTCTGTTTATTTGTGGACCACTCTGCTATCTGGTTTAGTAATTTGTTATTGAGGCAAAGGAATTATATATCTTTATATATGTTCAACATGATATTAAATAGTAATTCCCAAATTTTTGTATGTCTCAGAATTTCCTGGTGATATTGGTAATAACCTGGACCACACCATTGGGGGGAAAAAAAAAAAACTCACTGCCATTGAGTCAGTTCTGACTCTTAGTGACCTCTACTTGGGTTTCCAATGTGGTATCTGTACAGAAGTAGATTGCCCAGTCTTCCTTCTGAGGAGTGGCTGGTGGCTTTTAACTTCCAGCCTTCTGATTAGCAGTCAAATGCCTTAGGCACTATGCCACCAGAGCTCCCTGGACCATACCCTTAGACATTCTAATTGAGAAGGTATAGGATGATACCAGGTATCTGAATTTTTAACAAGTTTTTTGATGTATACCAATGTTTGAGCACACTGTTAGAGACTTTCTTTCCTGATGATATTGTCAACTTAAACATCTAATATCAGAGATTTCATTTTACCTAATTTTCCCCCCACCATTATACTCTGTTCATTCTAAGCCTAATTGTTAGCATGTAACAGGAGGCAAACATGATCATTGGTATTCACAGGAAAACAACAGCTTGGAAATGGGTAGCTACACTTAAAATATTTATTAAATTTTTTGAATATTTGAGAACATTGTTCCCAGGTGATGTTTTAAAACTCTGTTACGTAGGGCAGTAACAAGGTCAAATATTTTCAAGAATAATCTGCAAATACTCAGATAGAAATTCAAATTATGAAAAGTGGCAGAATTTTGGGTAGGGATAAAGGAGAAAATTTGAAAAGCTTGAAACTATGAACTGCTTTGGCATGCTGATGGCACAGTGGTTAAACGTCTGGCTACTAACTGAAAGGTCAGCAGTGCATACTTACCAGCTGTTCACGGGAGAAAGTTGTGGCAGTCTGCGTCTGTAAAGATTTATAGAAACGTAGAGATTTATGGAAACATTATGAGTTTATTTTCCTGTGTCTGAAATCAGTGCTGACCTAACTGAAAAATACTTTTATTCTAGAGAAGGTCCATTTTATGCTCTTTGGTTACTGAGACCCATGACTTACTTTCCAACTGTGTACTTTGTGTAGAAAGAGTTGGGTGTTTGTCCATTTGTCATGAAGTCTCTACAGATTGCTACATGTTTCTTCCCTAGAGTGGCTTGTGGGTTTCAACTACTGACCTTTCTATTAGTAACCAAGCACTTAGTCACTGCACCACCAGGACTCTTTTTTTATATTCTTTAGAAGGAATAATTTCTTCTTGTGTATCTCTGTTTCCAGACAACACTGTTCCCGAATGCCATCTCTGTAGTCTTTCCCTGGTAACTTCAGAGTTCTTTTTCTCACTCTAGGGTTCTGAGCCCACTGCATTCTCTGTGCTTAACCAAGCCATCACTGGTCAGGTGGGTTTTGTGGATGTTGAATTTTGCACAACCTGTGGAGAAAAAGGAGCAAGTAAAAGATGTTCAGTATGCAAAATGGTAAGAATGAAGTTCTTTTAAGTTCTGCTGTGTGATATCTGGTTTGGATTTCCTTCCAACCTGACACTGGGGTTTTATGTTCTGTAAATTTAATGGTTGTCTTGTCAGATATATTAGTTTTCTAATACTGTGAGCTCTGGTAGCATAGTGCCTAAGGCACTTGACTGCTAACCAGAAGGCTGGCGGTTCAAACCCACCAACCACTCCTCGGAAGGAAGGGTGGGCAATCTACTTCCACAGTGATACTGCCTCGGAAACCTAAGGAGGGGTCGCCATGAGTCGGGTCTGACTTGACGGCACATAACAACAACAACATAAGGTATATTTTAAAAATAAAACTTAAAAATATTTATTGTTTAAAATGAAAGTTTTTCAAATTAGGTTCCCATTTAACAATTTCTACAAAAATTATTCAGTAATATTGGTTATATTTTTTAAAAATGTGTCATAATTCTCATTCATTCTATTCTCGTACCATTTCCTGTACTCTGGTTCCCTTTACCCCTTACCTTCTTGTCTTTGCTTGAAGGCTATAAGGTATTATATCTAATACTTAAGAAATAATTTTGGAAGGGTCCTACAGTATAGATGTAGTTCTATACCCTGTCTGTCTTCTGTCAAATCCCAAGCTCCCTTACGTTCTAAGCTGACTACACTAAAGAGAGAAAAAAATATGAGTAAGAAAAACAAACAAACAAACATAAAAAGGTTATCATCCATAGAGTAGTGGTCCTGAGTCTAATACAGATATGGGAACCCAGAATAGGATAATTCTTAAATATACAGTCTTAACTCCTCTGATAACTACAGTGTCTTCATGAACTCTGTTATAAAAACTACAACTGCTTCTTGACAGTCACCAGTCTTTACCCTCTGTGAACCATACTACCCACCTCTGCAACCTTATCGCAACTTCATAGCAACCCTCATTAGGTTTCCAAGGCTGTAAATCTGTATGGAACCAGACTACCTCATCTTTCTCCTGTGGAGTTGGTGGTAGGTTCGAATCACTGACCTTTTTGGTTAGCAGCCAAATGCCTTAACCACTACACCACTAAAAAGCAAAACTCACTGCCGTGGAGTCAGATCCGACTCATAGTGACCACTTCTTGGGTTTCCAGGGCAGTATCACTACGGACGTAGATTGCCCAGCCTTCCTTCCGACTACACTACTAGAGTTTCTTTCTTGGCCCCATAGGTAATGTTAATTTTCTATTGATTTTAAGCTTGGTATTCTTTAGCATATTATATAAAACCCATCCCAATCTACCATAACCTACTTCTCCAGCTTCATTCTTAATTACTTTCTTCTCTGAACTTATGTGTGAAATGGGACTAGAGTTGTGAATTAAGTGAAACCATTTTTATGCATTAGCTATTACTGCATTTAAATAAAACACTCAAAAACTCAGTGCTTAACACAAGAGTCATTTATTACTTTTTGCATGTTTGTGGTTGGCTGGACATACCTTGGGTAGCCCTGCTCCATGTGTCTCTGATACTCTCCTTGGGCCAGCAGGCTAACCTGAACACATTCTATGGCAATGGTAGAGACATGTGAAGAAGTAGAAACACCCAAGGTTTCTTGGGTCCTAACCTCAAAATTGCCATGCTGTCTCATTCTATTGGTCAAAACAAGTCACATGACAAAACCTAAAGTCAAAGCTCTGCCCCTATAACAAGTCACATAGGAAAGGGTATGGATGCTGGGAAGAGTGAATAAGTAGGGCCGATAATGTAATTTTTGACACCATTTATATACAAAAGCCTGTCCCAGTGCTTAGCATATAAATGTTCAGTGAGGTTCATTCCCATCTCTTTATTGCCCTGCTTGCAAAAATGTAAGCTCTATTAACATCAAAATTCTTGCTCTCCTTGAACATATCATTCACTGGATTATTTCTACATTTTTGTTCAAGGTGTCCTCTTCACCAGGAATGCTTCTTTCCCATTTGTCTGTCTACCCTGACTCCCTGCAGCCAGAGTAAATCACTGCTTCCTCTGTGTTCCTATTGCTTTTACTTCCTGTCCTATATTCTAAACACTGAGGTGTCTGCCTTCCTCCATCCTACCCCATCCTGTGCTTTCTCAGCAACTGTAGGTTCCTCTGGGATGACAAGTTTGTTTTCTTTGTCATTAGAGTATCATAAACAAATTACGAGGTTCTTAGTAAACTATTTATTAGTAGAATATTCAGTAGACCTGCTTATATATGTGTTATGTTTTTTAAGTAATGTATTTTTTTGAAAGCTAAAAATAACAAGTCTAAACCAGAACATATCCACCCATCATGGTTTTAAAATATAACATGGGTAGCTTAATATCTTTATCACATATTTCTTGGTTTGATGTCATATTTGGAAAACGATGTAAGCAAAGTTCTTGAAATGAAAGTAAACCTACAATTGCTTTCAGGTAATATATTGTGATCAAACCTGCCAGAAAACACACTGGTTTGCTCATAAAAAAATCTGTAAGAATCTGAAGGACATTTATGAAAAGCAACAATTAGAGGCTGCCAGAGAAAAGAGTCAAGAGGAAAATGGTATGTATATAAAAACTGAGCTCATGCCAGTTCTTGGTGAGGGAGAGGACTGGTAGATGATATTCACACAGGACACACAGGAACTGATTCTTCTCTGAAGACCAAGTGAACTTAGTCATAACCAACAGAAGAGTTACACTGAAACTCAGTATGTCACCATTTTGAGTCTTTGGGATAATGCATAGAATGTGGTCAGCCTGGGTCCCAGTGGAAAACAAGGAGACAAAATTCTGAGGAATGTACTTTGTGCCACATTCTACTTTCTTGTGCAAGGTACTGCTGTAGTACAATGGGACTTCACTGAGTATTTACCTATATTCTGGTCATCAAGGATTTTAAAGCCTCTGCATAAGAAAATTTAATTTCCCTAAATGGCTCTGGTAGCATAGTGGCTAAAGCACTTGACTGCTAACCAGAAGGCTGGTGGTTCAAACCCACCAGCCACTCCTCAGAAGGAAGGTTGGGCAATCCTACTTCCTTAGTGATACTGCCTCAGAAACCCAAGGAGGGGTTGCTATGAGTCGGGGCCGACTCGATGGCACATAACAACAACAAATGGCTACCAAGGAGCTCTGGTGGTGAGGTGCCTAAGGCATTTGACTGTGAACCAGAAGGTTGGCAGTTCAAACCCACCAGCCACTCCATGGAAAGAAGCTGGAGTAATCTACTTCCATAAATATTTATTACCTTGAAAACCCAGTAGGGGCTGCTATTAGTACAGATTGACTTGGTGGCAGTGAGTGTTGTTTTTTTTTTTTTTAATGACTACCAAGATATTTTAAGGTTGGAAGCCTTTAAGCTTTTCACATTTCAGAACTATGGGTGAAATTACAGAGTAATTTATAAATTACAGATTACATTGCTGATGACATGTAAATACTAAAGTGTTAGCGCAGTGAGTTTCATTTATTTTTTTCTCCATCCTTCATGAGATATATGATTCATTTTCATCAGGGACAGTGAGTGATATCAGCAATGGCTTTCATATTGAGGAGAAGGATGAGTGCCCCCCCCCACTGCCTCTCCAGGGAATGTGTCACATGTTCTGGGGGGATGTATGTTACCCACGTGATTCTGAAACTGCACATTTCCACCTCCATTCCTCAAGGGACCTTGTGCCCTTTACCACTTGGTTGAGAAGCACTGTGTTAGAGGGACTGAATGATTTGTACAAAATTAAATCATTTAGTATTAAGAGAATAAGTCAGGCTTTCTGAGTGCCATGCGTTCTGTTTCCTGAATCAGACTGTTTACTCTGTGTGTTGTGGTCAGAGAATAATGCTAAGTAGACCATCAGGAAAGGGTAGAACTATCAGTAAAACAGGAGTCTCCAACTGTGAAGTATGAATTGTATGCCACACACATTAAAAGTGTTATAAATGCCTTTATTCTTAATGAATGTAGGATAGACTGTATCATCCCCACTTTACAAATAAGAGAATAATCTCATAGTGGCCATTACCTACCCAAACAATCAAGCCAATTAATAACAATGCAGCATTCAAACACAGATTTTTATCAGATCCCAAGTGGCTATTGTGATTGAGAGTGCTGGCTTTGGAGCCAGCCTGAGTTCAAATCCTGGCTCTTCTTACAAATTGTAAAACTTGAGCAAGTTTTGAAATCTCTGTTCTGTTTCCCCGTTTGTAGAATTAAAATAAGCAGTGTTACCTCCTGCAGATACAATGAGGACTAAATGAGTTGATACATGTAAAACAATCAGAAGGGTATCATGGTACAATAACTTTTTTTAAATTTTTTGCCTTTTATCAGATGCCAAACTCGATGTCAATTCTAATTGTGTTAATGAAGAGCAGCCGCATGCTGAAACAGGTACCTCCCAAGAGGATTCCAGTCAAGAGGATTCTAATACTAAAGATTCAGTGGAAGGAGGGAAAGAATGTCTCCAGAGTGATGCTGAGTTGGAATGCATACAGGATAGTCCTGCAGGTCCACAGACATCTGAGGAGTAAAAGCACAAGTGCCAGCCTGACACTTTTCACCCTAGCAGGTAGCTGGAAAACTCCTGTGACCATGTCTTCATTGCCTCATGATACCTGCATGGGCTGATGGCAAGATCCCATATGTCCTAGATTAGAGGTTTCCAAGCAAAGCTCTATCTACTTTGCCCTAATTTCCTATTGATTTCTGATCTGTAATTGGATGAATATTCCTATGGAAAAATGTTTCCAAAATATAAGAGAAACCATTTCTATTCCCTTTTTGAGGTCTGATTGTCAGCATCTGTTCTCAATGGAAAGTAAATCCCCTTAAAGAAGAAATACAGGCCCCAGGGAGCCAAGGAGCAAGCAGAACTGGTGTGAGAGAGGTGATTTTCAGAAAAGAAAAATGGTATAACCACAGAGAAGAGTAGTTAAAAGAAGTTACTTATATGTGAATAAAATGCATAAAAATAGCATTTGCAATAGTGAACTTCTACTTATTAAGGAGCAATGTAATAAAGAAAAACTTTATGTTAAAGAATCTTTGCTGTAGTTCAATTGATGGCAGTATTTTCATAGAAATTATCCTGAACAGTCTGAACTTTTTATAGTTCCTGCAGTGACTTTTTATCCATAGTATTTGTACCTTCAGAAATGTCAAATCTCTCAGAAAGAATTAAGGCATTACTAGATTATCTCAGCATGTCCATTAAAAAAAGATCACATTTTTGATTAAATAATTGCGAAATGTATAATTATTGTCAAACTAATTCATGTGCCATACTCCCATCTGGAAGGCTGACTGTTATCTTCCTGTAAGCTATTCATGTCCAGAAACTGTGATTTACAGCTATCATTTATGTAAAGTCCTGGCATCAGTTTTTAGTGTATGCAGCATTTAAACAGAGCGAGAGTGTGTGATATCTGAAGATAGTACTGTTTCAAAGTTTCTTGTACTGATTGTAAAATAAATTGTGCCTACTATTACCAATGACTCACATTTTGTTTCATGGTTTATTGCTGTCTGTTGAGGGCAACATTAGAGAAATATTGGAAAATCTAACAAATATTAGGGAATTTAGCAAATTCCTAGTTATTTTAACAACTCACTGCCATCAAGTCAATTCCGACTCATAGCGACTACCTTTTGGTTTCTGAGGTGGTATCTCTACGGAAGTAAATTGCTCAGTCTTTCTTCCAAGGAGTGGCTGGTGGGTTTGAACCACCAGCCTTCTGGTTAGCAGTCAAATAATGCCTTAGGCACTGTGCCATCAGAGCTCCCCTTTTTACCATAGGTCCCTGCTTTTCCAATTTTTTTGTGTGTGCATTTGTGTTACCATTTTTCTCCTTTTTCTTACACTACTCTCTGTCGGATACTGTGCTGGGCTCTGGCAAGAGGGTATGGTCCCTGTTTTGGGTACCATGGATGATTGGAAAAAGCAAAAGGAAATAGAAAAATGAAGAGATGCGGTAATATAGAGGTGATTTTTTCTATTGAGATGAATTGCTAAGATGGATCAGAACTCTGATACAGTGATGCTGTGTGCCATTGAGTTGAGTCCAACTGATAGGAACACAGTGTGACAGAGTAGGATTACCTAACAGTGTTTCCTAGGCTTTAATCTTTATGGCAACAGAGTGCCAGGTCTTTTCTCCCACAAAGCCACTCAGTGGGTTTGAGCCACCAACCTTTTGATTAGCAGTCAAGCGATTGTACCACTAGGGCTCCTAACACAAATAATAGCTGGCATAAATAGAAGCTTTAAAATTGGACAAAGAGGACTTCAGGCATAAGCCATGTCAATATCAAAATTCTCAGATGTGTCATGGATGAGATAAGAAACAGGTTTAAGAGAAAATGGGTTGATTCTAAAGCCTCATTCATCACAGAAAATCTAAAATACACTCTATTATAGTACCACCAAAAGAGGTGGACTTGCAGGGTTTTATTTATTCATTTAATTTTAATAGCTTTAGCATATTTTCAATATGCTACCAAGAAACCTCTCAGTCAAAAAATAGGACCTAAAGGATTAGAATATTCTTAATTTAGTAATTCTTGTCTCTAGAGCTTATAGGAAGTATTCATTTGGCCAGTAGGTTTATTAGGCGATTGGATGTCTTTTTTGATTCAGTTGTTGGGTGTGTGGAGTTGATTCTGACTCAATAGTGACCCCATGTGACAATAGAACTGTCCCACTGGGTTTTCATAGCTATCATCTTTGCAGAAGCAGGTCACCAGGGCTGTCTCATGGAGCTGTTGGGCGGATTCTAACCACCCTTTCAGTTACAGCTGTGTGCTTAACCATTTCACCACCAGGACCCCTTTTTGATTCAACAGGTACAAAAAATTACTAGGTCCCTGACACTGTCTTACTTAACAGTCACAACAATCTTATGGATTAGTCTTTATTTGTATCCCAGTAACACAGAAGAGAGGTCCCTGGGTGGTGCAAACAGTTAAGCACTTCACTACTACCTGACAGGTTGGTGGCACTCAGAGGTGCCTTTGAAAATGGACCTACAGATCTGCTTCAGAAAGGACACAACCTTGGAAACCCTTTGGAGTAGTTCTATAATACACATATAGGGTCACCAGGAGTTGGAGTGAAATTGTCAGCAACGAACAACAACACAACAGCACAGATGAGGATAAAATTGAAATCTAAAGAGGTCACGTCACTTGCTGTAAAGTGCAGTCTGGGACTCAATGAACTTAACTACTACTCAGTACACTTTTACTATTTGAAGTTGTATCTCTGCAACTATAAAAAAATAGACCTCCAAAGAAAGCCGTTGTTTTTTATTGGCTTTAGTGGATATTCCTTAGTTTTGTAAGTGCCTCCAGGTGAAAGCAAGCTGTAGGTTCTCAGTGTCAACTCATACTCCCTCTAAGGCTTTTATCTCTTTCCTGTTATGATTTTAGGCCCACTTCTACAGTGTGGCTATTTCCTAAGTGCCACCAGATAGGTGGAAATGTTACTGTGCTTTTCATATGCTTTTGATCTAGCTCATTAACCTCATACCCAGCTTCAGAATTCAGCAGATGTCTTCTGAGAAAAGCAGCCATGCCTTTGAGTTACCTTAAATGACCAATTTCGTCACTCAGCACCAGGCAACTGTTAAAAGCTTTTCTGGTTTCTGTTTTCCCTAGCAGCAGGCTTCTGGCTGGCCCAAGCCCAGATCATTAGCCCACATTCAGAATTGGCAAATGCTTCCAGAGGTGAGAAATGAAAACAGTCAAAAAAACCCCACTGCCATTGAGTCCATTCTGACTCATAGTGACCCTATAGGACAGAGTAGAGCTGCCTTATAAGATTTCCGAAGCTGAAAATCTTTAGGGAAGCAGACTGCTACATTTTTCTCCTACAGAGCAGCTGGTGAGTACGAACCACTGACCATTTGGTTAGCAGCTGAATGCTTTAACCACTGGACCTCAAGGGCTCATTAAAAATACAGTAGACTTTTTTTTTTTTAATGTGATACATTCATACAATGGAATAATATACAACAATGAGAATGACAGAATTATTGCTACCAGCAACAATATGGATAGATCTTAAATTATCACGTGAAAGAAATCAGACACAAAACACTTCCTTTCTGTGAATCCCTTTAGTACTTACCAAAAATTGACACAATTTGTAGTCTAGAAATCAGGATAGTGATTACTTTTAAGAGTGGGTAGTGACTAGTGACAGGAATAGGGGCTTTTAGAGTGCTGGTACTTTTTTATTTCTTCATCTGGGATGCTGTTTATATAAGTATGTTCAGTTCTTTTAAATTTGTTGAGCTGAACACTTACGATGTATACTGTGTACATGTTTTAGTTCAACAGAAACTTTAAAAAACATAAAATGTAAGGATTATTTGTTTCCATTTCCATTTAAAAGTTTCAAATGATATAATAAATACATGCTAAATCACAGGAACGTTTACTATGCAACTGAAAACCACTATGGTATCTAGAAATTCCAAGCGTTATCTCAGTGTAATTGTGAGCATTTGAGCAGGTTCTGTGCCTTTCTCTTCAAGGTATTTTTCATCTCGTGTTGGAACTGTGTCCCAGTTCATAGAGGTAATAGTCATCACTGATCTCTTCATGGATCTTACAAAAACAGCATCTTCTGGGTCATCAAAGACAGTTCTGCAAGAATAGCAATTTTGTAAAAAAAAAAAATAAGTTGAACCAACCAAAATGAATTTTTCATTTAAGTAAATAAATACCATATTTTTCTGTTACTTTTAGTGTAGGACCACTAACATAATTTTTGGGCTCTGCTGACAAAAGACTTTCAAGCTAAGTAATGTCATATTTATTGTATAATTTAAAAAACAGTATTTGAGCATATTTGGGGCTCTGCTATTATGGTTTCAGCCCCATAATAGTCAAGCGTTTATGTTTTAAAACCAGTGTTAAATGAGATGATTATAGATAGCATATAAAACCCACCAAACTCACTGCCATCAAGTTAGTTTGACTCCTAGTGACCCCTCCTTGGGTTTCTGAGGCAGTATCTCTATGGAAATAGATTGCCCAGTCTTCCTTCTGAGGAGTGGTTGATGCATATTAATATCTTAAGTACATTACATTAGAAAGTTACTATTTCCCTACATTATGCTATATTTTTTAAAATCTGCATGGGGATAGTACTTTTCAACTCTGAATCTAAAGAAAAAAATTCCTAAGTCCAAAAGTAAGAAAGAATGATGATTTTAAATTGGCCGTTATTAATGAATTTTTCATTAATCTTTCATAGTATTAATGAAGTACTTGTTTTTGAAAGTATATATTATAATGATAGTAAAATATTTAACCTATATGATAATTGCTCTCACTGAACATATTTAGAGGAAAAGTAAATAAGTAAAGCCCCTCATCTGAAATAGCTAATAATTCTTAAGTTTTATTTAGTATATCAAATCATCCTTTCTTTATTTGGGGTTATAATATTAAAACCTAAATGTCACATATGAATACATAGCTTGAAATCATTTATTACAGAAAAGCAGCAATTTTCCTCATCTAC